CTAAAAGCCGGCTATAGTGTTGCAAAAAGTATTATGTTATGCATATGAACTGAGATTGTGGTTAGAGGAGAGGAACAAAGAAACTCACAACACAAACGCCACTGAGGTTGGCTCCTAGCCATATCAACAAGTGTATCCAGCCAAATGTGTGCAGTCTTTCGGACCCCAACCAGGGAGCCGAGAGGCTCCAACGGAGGACAACTACAAACTAAGGGCCTTCATTTCTCTTGACCAAGTCATAGCTTGCCCACTTCTCTTCCTCCATCCACACCCCGGGCGCACAAACAACGTATGTCGCAGGAATCGGTGGGTTAGTATGCGCAACACGTGACCCAGCCATGGGAACCTGGTGCCAAGCGATTCACTTCTTCTTCCTGTGCCATAAACGAGGAGTCGAACACGCTCATTGCGCACACGGTGTTCCCCCCAGATATGAGCCCAACTGCGAAGGCACCGGTGGTTGAAAGTAACTAGCCTGCTTATGCCTGCCGATTTAATGGGCCAGGTTTCACAACCGTACAGCAGGATACGGGAGAAGGTGATGTTGCGCCAGCGCCATAGGTGACGAAGGTTAGCAAAAGCGCCCCGAGCTTTTAGTATAAGGTTTGTAACTGTCTTAAATTCCAACGGCGCTGATACAAGCGCCGAGATAGTTTAATCATTGAACGACTGCTAGCTGATCAACACCGAAGATCAGTGCAGGAGGCAGTCCCTGCCAATCTTGGAGGAAAACTTTGCACTTCGAGGGAGCAAAGCATAGACCGAAACGGTTGACAGCCAGTGATAATCTGTCTAGTACTGTTTGGTACATTTGTGAGCTATCATAGATAAGTTTAATGACGTCAGCATACTCCAAGCCAAGAAGTCGTTCAACTGGCAGCAGTTCCACACTTGCTAAGTCCTATCCTGTGAACGCAATATCCCAGAGTTCATCAATAGCGAAGATGAAAAGGAATAGTGACAGCGGACATCTTTGTCTTAAACTGTTGGAGATATTGAAGGGGGCGACAGCGTGCCGTAAGCCCTCACTCTGCCGGTGCTACGCGCGTATAATGCTCGGATAATATTTATATATTTCTCAGGTACACCTTTCCTGAGCAGACGGTCCCAAAGGGCACTTCGATCAACCGAATCGAAGGCACCTTTGATGTCGAGGAACACGACTACGGTGGGCCGCCAATATGTGTGACGGTGCTCCAACAATTGAGGCAAAGTGAAGATGAGGTCGATGCAGCCACGACCTCGACGAAACCCGGCTTGCTCCTCACGAATCTGGCTTTCACCAGCGCCAGTCAGTCTGTGAAGGATGACAGAGGCAAGTAATTAGGCGGCAATGGGGATCAGACTGATTCCTCTATGATTGCCGCATTCCGAATGCGAGCCTACTTTGAAGATCGGAACTATAACGGAGCGGCTCCAGTCGGTAGGGACAGTTCCTGCTCTCACAGTTTCACTAGTAACTCGTGTAAATCATCCACAAGAGCAGGGCACCCGAATTTGAAGCGGGCTGAATGAAGATCATACGGTCCCGCGGCTTTGTTTAACTTCAACAGTCCGATCCCACGTTCGACTTCTGAGCGAGAGGGCGGTTCCAAAGGGACAGCCCAACGAGCAGGGCGACCAGTGGCCGGTGTGGAATCGAACAATTCCGGCCGAAGAAATTGCTTTTCAAAATGCTCAGCCCAACGCTCCAAACGTTTTGATAAATTGTGGTTAGGCTCTCCACTCTCGTCACAAATTGTCTCACTAACACCAGGTCTCCTGCTGCCTGTTTCCCGTATCAGACGGAATAACTTTCCATGGTTACCAACGACAGCGGCTACTTCCATCTCTGACGCACGAAGACACCACCAGGGTTCTCTTCAGGCTAGCACGCAGTTATGTCCGGAGCTTTTTGTGAGTTTCATTGTGTTGCATCCAGCCGGAATATGCCGGCGAGCATCGATAAGTTCCAGAGACTGCGAAGAGACCCGATATCCGTGTTGGCTATTAGACGTACCACATGAGGATTTGACCGCTGCTAGTAAGGTCTGGTGAACATGCGACCAGTGGCGTTCAACTGTCTCCAGTGAGCGCTTACTCAACTCGCATGTCAGCGTAGTTTGATAGGCATTCAGAACAGCTGGCTTCGTCAGTTGGCTGATGCGATGAGGCTGGACCCCATTGCAATCAGGCTGTACCTTACAGTGCTGCTATGGTTTGTGTGCCTCAGCGATCCATTGAGCTACGCTGGGTGATGCTTTTTTGCACCTTCGGAGCCACTCATACTATATTGGTGAATGGTTAGAGGCCAGACAAACTCGACCTCCTGGTCCACCAATTTGGGTTCGGAATGAGGGTGGCTCCTTATTCCTCAAAATGGACCCCTTGCAGCCCAACGCCAAACCCGCTGCCTTGCGGTCAGGTTTTTGAACCGAATGCCTTGGTTGAGAACCTTAATCGTTCTCCTGTCTAAGCCTGGGCAACTTGACAGTACGCTGCCCCCGGAATACACCATGACTTTTCCTTCTAACAATCACTTGATGCTCTGGCCACTGCACAGGATAATCAACGGTGCTCTATCGGCTGCACCGAGCGGGGTTGATAGGGGTTTGGATGCGAGCAGTGACCTTCAACGGTATACAGTGAGCGATTACTCAACCCGAATGCTAGCCTACTTCGATACACATACAGTCGGCTGGTGTCTATGCGTTCACAGGGTTGTCGTGCGCGTCCGCTAAAACGCACCCGCAGACCAGCACATACAAGTGCATGATCAGTGTCCGCATATTTACCCTAAACCGATCGAGGGTTTTTGACGCAGCCTCTCCAGTGGTGACTGGTCGCAATGTGATCGATTTGCGTAAATGGTTGGTTTGAAGCTGGCAGGCGCCATGTTACCCTCTGGCGAGTGCTGTGTCGAAGTTAGTGCCTGCAAGAAATAAGCGAGCAGCTTCACACAAATGAAATGGTCGCTCACTGTTATTGCGGGAGCCTACACTATGTTAGCCGCCCAGATGCAACTCATCAGTGGAGAATTTTCCAATTTGAGCGTTCAGATCTTCCGTCAGCACTACAGTATCTGTGCTTCTTCTGCGGCAAAGGAGCTCGATCAATTGACGATAGAAGCCGTCTTTTACAGAATCATCGCTACAGTTTGTGGGGGCGTAGGCAGCGATCACAAACAGACACCTATTGGCCCCGCGCGACTTCGAAGCTTTGAAGGCAAGAAGGCATCAGTAGTATGACAGTACGCACGCTTCGCTGCAGCGCAACCACAACCAGTCGCACGTGGGCTAAAAATACTGCGAGGGTCGCCTTGCCCCTAGGTAGGCTCGAACCTACGCAGCAAGATTACAATACAAGCTCGTAAATTTTAGGCTAGGGTCGGCTTTAAACGAGCCAGCCAGTCGTACCGCATCCGGTTATTGATTGGATTCCAATCAACTAGAGCAGCTTCATCCCGGGGACTCAGGGCAATACTAACACCGGTTTGGCCTGTACTCGAAGCTGTATCGTCTCCGGATAGACGCAATAAAAAAGCACTGCTAGTGCCACATGAAAGGGATCACAGAGCGAGTACAGAGCTCGAGTCCTGCAGGCGAGCTGCTGACAGACAGCAGATATTGATCGAGAGGGTGTCTAATGTTTTGATAAATGCTGTCTGTTGACCAAACTGTAACAATGTGCGTACATTGAGGCATGCCAATCTGAGGGAGGATCGAGGGCTCCAAACAGAAGCCGATAAAAAGGCTTCACCGCTTGGTTAGGCATGGGTTTGTCGATAGAGCGGGAGTGACGCTCCGCGTTTGCACGTGTCGAAACTAGAAGATCAATGCCTATCGAAGCATGGTGAGGGAGGGCCAAGAATTGGAGACTGAAAACGGGGGGAAGTGAAGTTGGAACGGGATGATAAGGATGTAAAAACGTGTGGGGAAATAAAAAGACGGGAAGGCTTGAGTAGTAGTATCCAAACCCTTAACCACTGTGCTCGATTCATCAGATAGGATGTCGTTAATTACCCTCTGCGACGACCAGGGAATAAAGAAATGGTTTGAAGGAAAAGTCAGTTGTATTGCGTGGACAGGATACTGTCAGGTTGCAGAGGTCTAAAGAGGATGATTGGGGTTCGCAGTCAAAGCCTTTGGTTCAAAAACCTAACGGCAAGACAGCGGGTTTGGCGTTGGGCTACAAGGAGCCCGTTTTAAGGAATAAGGAGCCACCCTCATTCCAACCGCCAACCTGGAGGACCAGACTAAGTCTGTCTGGCTTCTAACCATTGACCAACATGGTATGAGTGGCTCTAAAGGCGCAAAAAAGCATCACTCAGCACAGTTTAATGGATCACTGAGGCGCGCAAACCATCGAACCACGGTGAGATCCAGCCTCATTGCGATGGTCTAGCTGCCAGTGAGACACATTTGAGACGAGTACCGGTCGTCCAAAAACTTTTCGGTGTGGAGTTGAACAGATCAATACTGTGTTATGACGATTTGGGGATCGATTTCTATTGAGCGTGGACGGTATTTGTTACCAAGAAAAATGTACTTACAGCATAGGTTAAGGTACCTGCAGTACACAGGTAGGCAGTACCGATGCTACGCTGCTGTGCAATGGCCGACATTTGATAGTGGAATGCGGATACTACGATGGTCGCCGGGTCCCCTGAGCAGGCTCGAACCTGTGGCTTCAGATTAAAAGGCAGATTGTGATCCCTAAGGCCACGGTCCGGCTAAGGCTACACCGAAAAAATGTTCCGATTGACAGAAATTTGTTTCAAAGGTGTCTAATTGAGACAGTTAGTGGTACAAGAAACGTTCCCTCTAGAGTACGAAAATCGATCACTTGTGTCATGCGGACAAGCACGAACGACCAAGGCAGACGAGTTGAACGGCTCCAAACGGCCTGGCGGAGCAGTTGGTTTTTTAGTGGAAAGGGCCTGAAAACAATACCCGATATTGGCCAAAGTGCATTCAAATAAAGTACGTGCGAACTACGGTGAGAACCATAAAATAAGTTACCATAATTATGATCGAAGCCTGGGGCTGCTTCTTCTGAGCCTTATCAACGATAGATGAAATGCCCTTTACAACTTCCTCCGGGCTATGGCTTGTATTGTGACTGCCGACCATAATTACGATGACCTGCAGAAATCGACGCAAAGTTATCTCAAGATACTTTAGGAGAAAAACCGTCAAGTTCCCCATTTTCAATTCGCCAAAGAACATTTTGTGTTTGATCATGGTAGATAGAGAAATTTACACAATGTAGGGGTTCCAAGTAGGTTTTGTAAACCTTGGAAAAAGTGAGAAGCGGTACACTGTACTTGAGTGAACTGCAGATGAAGAAGAATAGAATCTCCCAAAAGCACAACATCAGGCTCTTTCTCCGTTGTCTGACAGACAAATCGCACATGCTTCATCTGATAGAATGGGAAAAAGTAATCTTACTTGGCTCATCCAACATCCATCTCCGGCTTGGTCAACCGGAACGGATGGGACTACTGAAGACATTCGGTAGGATATTAAACTGCCGAGGAAGGCGGGGGATTCTTACGAACGTCCGATAAATAGGAAACGGCTAATTGCAATTTTGGGTATGTACTGTAGGCGTATCTCTGCGAACAAAAGTAAAGTAATAGTACATAAGTAAACGTTGCAATAATTGCATGAGAACGTTCTAATATATATATATATATATATATATATATGTAAAAAGAGAGTGGACGAGGAGAAAAGGGTCAAAATTAGGGTGTCTGGTTTGGTACTGTAGCTGGTCATTGGAACTATCGAGCGATAGAGAAAAAGTAGTCATAAAATGCTAGAATAAAAAGATAGATATTTATGCAAATATGGGTCCGTCTTTTTATCGGACCGACTGCCTAACGCTAAGCGAACCGGAGTACCCAATGCATGGAACGGGACCGTAGAATCATTTGATAGTAAAGAGCAGAAAAGAGATCCTTTGTCAGCTCCATCATTTCCCGTTCATAACAGGGATGAGTTCGTTATTGCGAGATGGAGATCTGCATAAGGCCGCCGAAGTCGCAACGGAAGCAGCAAGATCCTGGCTTATTCAGTAAGAATCCAACATTGTTTTGTTTTGAAACATTCCTCCGTTTGTGCGCCAAAGAGGAGCTTCGGTAAGCGGCTCCAGTCATTCAGCAAACGGGTGGATAGAGCAAGAATGGTTTGCACTCGGAGCCTCCTCGGTTTGAATAATTCCCATTTGTAGCGTCTAGTCGAAGTTCCAGCGGTGAGATGAAAGAACTGCAGTTCTCCCGCCAGGTCTCCTCTAAGGACACATCGAGTGAAAATTAAATTTCCATGGCGGCGACGACAATGTGGAGAGAAGAGATTCAAGTGTTGGAGCCATGTAAAAAGCAAGAAAATCAAGACAAACATGTGTGCACACTTTCCATTGGGTCCGGTTCTGCGTCATCTCCGAAAGAGTTTCCAGCTAGCAATGTTCCTCTTTTATCCCTCAGCCCGGATGACGCGCGGGACCTACGATAGCTAAACTGGAAGTCAGCGCTTTAATAGCTTGTCGTCACGTGATAGGCTGACCACTGCGTGATTTTTTTCCAGCCTGGTCTTGTGCGAGCGAAGAAAGCGCGTCGGGACAGCCGTTCGCATGGTATACGTAAAACATGGCCCAGCCATCTCGGTTGGCGCAGCGGTACCAGTCTGTCAAGTGGAAGTCCCGTGTTACCCAAGACGCGACGTCTAACATCATTGTTTCGCATTTGGTCCATCCACCACACTCGAGTTATTCTCCGCAGACATCCACTGTCAAAGGCCGAAATCCGACGTAAGTCATTTACACAAATCGGCCAGGACTCACTCCCATACAGTAGTACCGCGCGAACACAGGCATTATAGACCCTGCCCTTTACCAAATGTGAAATGTCACGGCGTCGCCACAGATGCCTCAAATTGGCGAATGACGAGCGGGATTTGCCAATGCGGAGGGAAATCTCTTTTCCAATGTTACCATTAGCTGAGACAGCTTCCCAGGTGAACAAAGTTGTCCACTTGTTCAACTCTCTCGTGAGTGGCATTTTAGAGTAAATAAGCGCCAATGTGATGGGCCCTGAATGGTTCAGTCGCGCCAATAGGTAAAACAGAACATTTGTCTCGATTAATATGCAATCGCCACTGGATCGACAAGCAGTGCAATAGATCAAGCAGCTTTTGTAGTCGATCAGCGTCCTCTATGCCATAGATCATCTGCATATATTAGGCAGCACAGAACGCAGGTCGGTAATGAAGATGTTGAAGAGCTCAAGACCTAGAACAGAGTATTAGGAGACACCGCTGGTCCTAAGTACAGAATCAGAAAGCGTTCCATTTACTTTTACTTGTATAAAGCGACAGATCAGGAAATCAGAGATCCAGGAGAGGAAATTCCCAATGATGCCGGGGTCTCGGAGTTTGAATAGCAGCCGTTCATGTGGGACTTTGCCAAAAGCTATGCTTAAGTCAACAAACACATGCAAGCGTTTTCCGAGATCTAGTGATTGAACCCACTTCGCCATGGTCCCGAACAAGTTCGTCGTGCACGAGCGAGCCCTTCGGAAACCGTGCTAGGCACAAGAGATGAAATTCAGCCCCTTGATTTGAAGGGGATGGGCACGTTACAGAATCCTTTCCATTACTTTACATAATACCGAAGCTGAACAAATCGGACGGTAACTGGATCTTGATGGCTCCCTCCTTTGTATGGCGGCTTGACAATGTCCACCTTCCATACACTCGGAAGACGTCCGGATTCAAAGGAGCGACAGAACACCTGAGAGACAAGAGTGGAAATGTGTTCGGTCCCAGTTTTGAGGAACAGGGAGTGTAGGCCGCGAGGGCCAGACGAGGAAAACGGATCTAAATGAAGCAGAAGTGTTAAAATAATGTCACTTAATATCTACGTGTTCCAACGCGGAGGGATGACAGGACACAACGCTGATAGGGTAAAGCGTTTCGAGTAGACGAAAGGGCAAGGAGACCAAAATTTTCATCGTCTTCGTAGACTAGAGCCGCATGCTCGCAGAGACCTAAGACAGAGATGCCACTGCCGGCTCTGGTGCTACGCGTGATGTATGAGAAAAGCGTCTCGGGGTTCGTTCTAGAGATCGCAGCAAGTGATAATTCGTGCGTTTGGCGCTTCTCGCGTTTCTTTTGGGTACACGTATTCTTGACTGTTTCGTATTGCGAATAATCAAGCTCCGCTCGCGTAAACTTGAAACGGTCCCACAGTTTGCGCCTTTTATTCAGTAGAGATCTCAGTTCCTGGTCAATCCAAGGTGGGCCTCTACATATGGGTCTCATTTTGGAGATGGGGACGACCTGTTACATAATCTACGTCAGCTTGGAGTACACAAGATTCCATGAACAATCAACATTGAGATGTTTAGGTATATCCCAGTCGACAACGCTTGCGGCTGTTTTGAGACGATGTGTATCGGCACGCCCGAAATTTCGACGGGACTCACATCGACCGTAGATAGCGAAGCGGCGTGTCTACTGGAATGAGATAGCACAGTGATCGCTTCTGCCAAGGGGATGAAGAACTGTTAGATTCGCGATAGCTGACTGAGCTAGAGTGAGAACAAGGTCCAGAATGTTCGGCGTCTGGTCAGCAACTATGCGTGTTATCATGATGACGTGCTGAAACAAGTTACAATCAAGAACGGTCTCAAGCAAAATGGCATCGAAGAAATCATGTGAACGACCACAAAGAAGTAAGTCCCAATCGATATGAGGCCGTAAAATCCCCCACGATAAGACAGTCCTTTTTTGCACCGTGTTTCCTGATCAAATCGAGCAGGTGAGCTCCGGATCCTGATGGCGCTCTGCAGACGACACCAATCGCGAAGGATCTGCGTCCATTATAAATACGGCACCAAAGGGCATTAAAATCACCATCGTCGTCACTAGTAGCTGCAACCAACTGGGACTTGAGATCGGCCTTCCAGTAAAGTATGACGCCGACATTGGGCCTCCCTTCAAGGCGGTCGGCTCGACAGAGACAGTATTCGGGAATAGACACCTCCGAATCTGACTGACTTGCCGAACTACCTCCTCGTGGTGTCAGCTGGGTGATTCGGGTGTACTCCATTCCAGCAAAGTGTTCGGCGACAATGTTCCACCTCGGTGGGGCATCACCATCATCATTACACGTTAGCTGAAGGTGGAAAACACCTCAGCTATTGTGCCGCAATACAAAAGACAAGAAAAGAAAAAACAAACAGTGGCACGCCCGCTGAGTCCCCAGTAACGGATGGACATCGTTCCGGAGAGCTAACAGCTGGCTGCCGTAAAAGAGAGTCATATTACGCCTAACAAGTGAGATCGTGATTGGATGGGGATGCTAAACAGGAGGGGGATGGGCAAAGGAACTCACAACACAAACGCCATTGGGGCCGGCTCCAAGCCATATCAGCAAGTGTGTCCAACCAAACGTGTTCACCGTCCTTAGGACCCCAGCCAGGCAGTCGGGATGCACCAACCGACGCCAACTTCGAAGTGAGGGTTTTCATTTCTCTCGACCAAGTCATCGCTTGGCCTCCCCTCCTCCTCTTCCAACCGCACCCACAACGCGCAAACAATGCACGTCGCGGGAGTCGGTGTGCTGGCATGCGCAACACGTGGCCCAGCCATCGAAGCCTGGTGCGTGATATAATGGTGCTGAGCGGTTCACTCGCTCTTCCTGCACCAAATACGCGACGCCGAACACGCTCATTGCTCACGCGGTGCTCCCACCAGACATGAGCTAAGCTGCGAAGGCAGCGATGATCGAATGTGACGAGCCTCTTCATGTCTGTCGACCTGATGGGCCAGGTTTCACAGCCATATAGGAGAGTTGAACGGACGGCTGCGTTGTAAACTCTGCCCTTGAGGGCGAGAGTAATGTCGCGTCTGCGCCACAGGTGGCGGAGATTGGCAAAAGCACCTCGAGCTTTTGCTATACGGTTCGTAACCTCATCTTCAATCCCACGGGTGCTAATATAGCTGCCCAGGTACTTGAATTCCTGAACGACTTCTAGCAGATCACCACCAAGCGTTAGCGCAGGGTTGGGTCCCTGCCAATCTTGGAGAAGTACTTTGCATTTCGATGGAGCAAAGCATAGCCCAAAACGATTGACAGCCAGTGCTAATCGGTCCAGTGCTGTTTGGCATGTTTGGGAGCTGTCACAGATTAGGGCAATATCGTCCGCATACTCCAAGTCAAGAAGTCGCTCACCAGGAAGTAGCTCCACACCTTCTAGATCGTGTCCAGCGAACGCTGTTTCCATGACTTCATCAATAGCGAAGTTGAAGAGGAAAGGTGACAGCGGGCATCCTTGTCTCACACCGCTGGTGATACTGAAGGGTGGCGACAGTTTGCCATAAACCCTCACCCTGCCCGAACTATGCGCGTACAGCGCTTTGATAATGTTTACATATTTATCAGGCACACCTTTCCTCAGCAGACAGTCCCAAAGGGCACATCGATCGACTGAGTCGAAGGCACCTTTTATGTCAAGAAACACGACAACGGTGGGTCGCCAATAAACATGGCGGTGCTCCAACACTTGACGCAATGTGAAGATGTGGTCGATGCAGCCCCGACCTCGACGAA